TTCAGAGCTCAGGAACCAACTATCATCGAAGCACAATTAGCAAAATAAACACAAGGCTATTGGCAATTCATCATAATAGAATTATATACTGCATTGCCTGGAGAATTTCATAATGCTGGAGGAGAACATTCAGACACAGATATTTAACAAAGTCTTCCTGCTAGACATTTTTCTGTTTGTCCCACTTGTCAGCTCCATCAGAGAAAAAAGGCAATGCCCTAAAACCTTGAAAATTCCATCCCAGCATCTTCCTGCCACAAGCACTTAATGTAACATATATGTTCATATATGTTCAGGAGATGGGCATATCCAAGAATCATCACAAGCCCAAAGTTTCCTCATACAGATATGTTCCGGTTTTAGCCATGTCTGAAGAGAAAGTTGCCACATTTCTTGTCTTTTCAAGTTTGTTTCATTAAGGCAGATGGAAAAGGAAGAAATTTAAGCTCTCTGAGCCAAGACTAAAATCCTTTAGCATAAACTTTCTGCAGGATGGTTTCATAAAACATACTAAAACCTTATCTTATTTATAAGTACTTTCCCAAAATTATTTAAAATATTTGAAGTTATATTTGTGCAGCACATGAGTACATGAATCGTAAGACATTACCATTAATGGTACACATTAATGGTACATTATTTTTTTCCCATATGAACCCCATGAGCCTCCAAATTCTTGACCAAGACATCCCCAATTACGTCACATACTAGCCCTCTTGGACCCCACCACTACGCTCACTCTTCAAAGCTACTCTGAGGCCAAATTATGAAGGTTGAGGTAATTGGGGTTGGACATTTCAAATTTAAATATACTGCTACTCACTGCAAGGATTAATATAATCCAGGCAGTTTGAGAACGTGATACAAATGGGTGGCTCCCCACTCATCCTTCTAGCACTTTACCCACACAAATTTCTTTTTGATATTAGCTAGTTAATACAGGTAGCAAAAATACTGTCCTTAGATCAGAGAGATATTTACAAAAACCCATAAAACACATACAAAATAAGAGTAAAATAATAAGTAAATAAATTAGCAATAATAAGCTATTAAAGACCCTTCTACCAGGTAGTTTCTATGCTCTCTCTGAGCACAGCTTTTTCCAAAGGACTATCTTGAGGAGAAACTACCCTTTTCTCATTCACCATCATATGCAGTGTCTTCAGCACACGCAAAAAGATATTTTCCCACATTGCTGCAGCACTTGCAAACCTTTTTGCCTCTCTATGGAAAGTTACAAGGAAAATACTCTTAATCTCAAACATAATCTGAAGTGCCACTAACCAGTAACACTTCAGACTACCAATGAGGTTCTTCAGGTAGCAAATCTTGAAATCTGATCACGCTGAACACTGGAAAGACTATCTTTGTTCTTTAAAAGCTATACTTGTTTCAGAGCAATAGCCCCGTCTCCACACAGCTTTAAAACAGAGAGAAAAAAAAAAAAACACACACACACACCCTGGTTCAAGCAGAGCTACATGAAATACTGACTGACCAGAGAGCTGCCCCTGAGCACAATATACAGTGGCCAAGTTCTGCTTTTCTTTCTCCTGGTAAGTCACTATCATAGGACCCTCTCCCTAACAACAACAAGTCTTTGAGATTCCTTCATATAAACCAAATCTAACTGAAATGAGTCAGCAGATTTTAAAAGTTACTAGAACATGAAGTACAAGTTACACATCGTTTCTCCTCCTTGTTTCTTAGGAATCTGTCTTAAGTGAATTTTCTAAATACTAATGTTTTCACCAACTCTCCTAAACAGGGATTGTGCAGAAGAGTCAAGAAACTTGCAATGTGCTGACTAACAGCAGGACATGGGGCCACTCAAACCCTTCCAAACTTCCAACTCTAAGTGTACTTTACAGGAAAAAAAAAAATCTCAGCCTCACCCCTGAAAAAGAATCATAAAATACCACTAAAATAACTCCTTCTAAAGCTATAAAAAGACCTCTTAGTATCAAATTAAGCGTTATCAATATTAGCAGATTAATCTTGCCAGGAACACTGCAGAAAGTATACTTTTACACTGTTCTCCCAAAAACATCACAAATACTCACGTCACTCAATGTCAAAGTAAGTTTCCAAAGCTAGGCACTGCAAAGCACACCACTAACATTTCACTAATTGCTCCTGTAGCTTTGCATTTACTGGGGGAAAAAAGAAATACTAATTCTGGGATTAACTACCTGCTTTTCAGATGGCAAAAAAAAAAAATAATAAAAGCTATTTATTCATTTTAAATATCTAGAACTCACCAATATTAACTTGGTAGGAAAGCCTTCTGAAGCACAACCTGAAAAATAATTTACTGGACGCTTTAGCACTTCATTTGACAGTCCTCAGTTAAACACCACACAACTGTTTTTGCTGTTGTTACCCATGGCAGCTCTGTGGGCACTGCTGTTGCCTTCCTGTGTCATGATCACACTTTCATTTTGAGGTACAATCCTACCCAGAGGCAGGGTAGTGCTAAGAGGACACCCAGTGATGGGCACATTCAAGTTCTCAATCTATGACTTGCACACCATTTTAAGCAAAGTTGAGACCTACGTGCAATAGTCTGTATGAAAAATATGAATCCTACTAGACATATTTCACACTAGCATTCATGGATTTGAAAAAGAGTCTTTGGCTGCCTTTAGTCTAGTGATCCATTCTATTTCCATCACTTGTATTTTCACCCTTATTTACATAAGGAAGAGACTTTATAACACAGATATCGTAACTCCAAAATCTCCACTCCTTCCAGAATAACTCCCAATTTGTTTAAGCAGCAGGCTTTCCAAGGTTAAGTAACCAGGATGTTGTCACATACACACATAAACAAGCATTACAGTTAGAGAAATAAAGGAGCTCAAATCTTTTTCTACACATGCCAAAACTCTATTGACTTAGCAAGCATAAGTAAGTGCATATTCCCTAACACAGACCCAAAATAAATACCTTCTATTACAAAACAAAACAAACAAACAAAAGTTTTTAAAACTGTTTGACACCAACATGTTGATCTACTTCCAAGGAAAATTCTTAGGTTATCAGATCATAAACAATCACAATCACCTTCCTATTAACTACAGAGCAAAAACTACTCCCAGAACACATCCGTGACATACACTCGACCAAGAAACGTAGTAGCTCTTCTTCAAAGAATTCTGTCAAAATGAAAACTATGAGTACCTAAACATTCACAGCTTTGAGGTTTGGACAATTTGCCATGATTATGTTCCTATTTATTCTTCTGAGCAATATTAGGGTGTGGTCTTTTATTTTGAGATTTAATTTTTCACTTTAATATACAAATTCAAGTACATCACTTCAGGGTGTATTTTCTCTATTAAAGTCTCAAATGCTTCATAATGATATTAACTTTTCATTTACTATTTAGCAGCTCTGAGAAAGATGCTTAGCCAATACACAGTACACTGAATGAACACATAACATACGCCCACATAAACAGTGTCTTTTAAGACCTGAGCAAGCAAAGGTTAAATACCTTAAAGTATTAAGGTATTTAAGCAAACTCTAAATAACCTGGCAACCCAAAAGCAAAAGAGCAGCTTAGGTGATTCTGTTAAACGTTTTGTGCTGCTATGTCAAATTTATAACATCCACACACACACACACCACTCAGTATTTACAGAGGGATCAGGAAGAGCAGGAGAGATCATCAGATGACACGAGTACTCCAGCAAAATCTATCTAGACTACCAAGTACACAATTCACAGCCACATTTTAAATCCAGGGTTTTTTTTTTTTTTTTTTGAGATAAAAGCTAAAGAGATATAACTATAGCATACCCAACTCACAGAAGTCTTGATGTTGGAGTTTTCAGGGTTATTCGAGTACCACAAAATATTAACCCAAACTTGCTCTCTATTAAACTCGACTTAAAACAGGTTGGCATACTTCATTTATTAGTACATGCACAGCATCTCAACTACTTGCTTTTAAATTTGAATAAAATATTTATATTTCACTGCAGAGACCTGGCTAAATTTCCTGGAATAGCAAGAAAGGCATAATCCACCCCTTCTGACGCTCTCAGGGGAAACTTAATGTTTGAGAAAAAGCCTAAATACCTGTTCTACGCAGAAGTCACCTTTTAGCACAATAATAATATCCCAAAAAATTTAGAGGCAAAGATCCTAAAAGAGGGATCAGGAAGAGCAGGAGAGATCATCAGATGACACGAGTACTCCAGCAAAATCTATCTAGACTACCAAGTACACAATTCACAGCCACATTTTAAATCCAGGGTTTTTTTTTTTTTTTTTTGAGATAAAAGCTAAAGAGATATAACTATAGCATACCCAACTCACAGAAGTCTTGATGTTGGAGTTTTCAGGGTTATTCGAGTACCACAAAATATTAACCCAAACTTGCTCTCTATTAAACTCGACTTAAAACAGGTTGGCATACTTCATTTATTAGTACATGCACAGCATCTCAACTACTTGCTTTTAAATTTGAATAAAATATTTATATTTCACTGCAGAGACCTGGCTAAATTTCCTGGAATAGCAAGAAAGGCATAATCCACCCCTCCTGACGCTCTCAGGGGAAACAATGTTTGAGAAAAAGCCTAAATATCTGTTCTACACAGAAGTCATCTTTTAGCATAATAATAATGTCCCAAAAATTTAGAGGCAAAGATCCTAAAAGCTGGTATCACAGCACATCAGGTAGGGTAGGAAATCATCCAAATTGGGCAACTGGTGCTAACTAGGGATCAGGGCCCAGCCAACCCCCGCTGCTCAGAGGTTTTTCCTCAGACAGCAGCTCACATCTACCAGCCGTTTTCCCTCAGGAGAAGAACAGAAGTTCCCCCTGGTTCTTGCATTGCTCCTGCTGGAAGAGACTGGCGAGCCTCAGTGTGACCTTGTTGTTCACATGATGGAGAGTTCACAAAAGCTGGGAGAACTGAAAAGGTGAAGAGTTAAGAACATAAAGGGCGCGAGGGAGAGTATTTGATACCCTGCATCCCCCGACTCACCCAGGATCGCCCTGAGGTGCTTGAGGCGGGTGAGCACGTCCTTCTTGGGGTCCAGCGCCTTCTGCGTGGACTTCTTCACATCGGCGTGGCTTTTTCTGGAGAACATCCCGCGGCGAAGGTGGGGGGGAGACACCAGCTCGGAGCGACCCCGCCGACTCCCCCGCGGCCGAGGCAAGCGGCGCTGCGCGGCCGCGCTCGTTGCCGGCGCGGGGAAGGGGCGGAGGAGCCTCCCGGCGGCCGCGGGGACAGACGCGCGTGGAGCC